GGTGTGCACGTGATCCAGGTGTGCACGTGATCCAGGTGTGCACGTGATCCAGGTGTGCACATGGATTTGGACTCAGAGTCCAGCTGACTCGTGTCCTCTACTTCCTGGTCTCCATGGTAACGGCTCCATAAACCAGGTCAATAAATAATCTGGACTTTAGAGTCAGGAGTTATACTGACACACACACACACACACACACACACACACACACACACACACACCCTCTGTTCCAGCAGACCTGTCAGACTTTGTCCCGGCTGCAGGAAGTCCTGAGACTCTGTCACCTCACCCGATGAGTCTGAGCTGGGAGGCCTGGGACCCATGAGTGGACTGGATTAACTTGTTCTGGTCCTTCAGGACCACTGAGACATCTGGACTAACCCGATCCATTTGGTTCTGGTCCTTCAGGACCGCTGAGACCGCTGGACTAACTCGATCCACTTGGTTCTGGTCCTTCAGGACCACTGAGACATCTGGACTAACCCGATCCATTTGGTTCTGGTCCTTCAGGACTGCTGAGACATCTGGACTAACCCGATCCATTTGGTTCTGGTCCTTCAGGACTGCTGAGACATCTGGACTAACCCGATCCATTTGGTTCTGGTCCTTCAGGACCGCTGAGACCGCTGGACTAACTCAATCCACTTGGTTCTGGTCCAACATCAGAGGTTGAGGTCAGAACAAAGGTCCAATTCTGCTGATCTTCATCATGAGGTCTTCATCAGAAACCTCATCCCCGTCTTCTGGTCCTCCACGTCCTCATGTGTCCATCCAGAGTCCACAGCTTCAGGACGAGTTTCTGAAAGGTAGGGTTCTGAGGTGGGTCACAGTCTGGTTCTATTCAGGTTCTGATGGTGATGGGAAGCAGACTGAGCCCCCCTGAGGACCAGAACCTGAGGAGACCTGGTCCTGCTTTAGATTTTGACTTTTTTTGTCTTTGTTTCCAGAACATCAGAAAAGGTTGGCGTCTTGGAGTCTTACTTCGTCCCCGCTGGACTCCCCCTGCAGCCCCTCATCCCTGCTGGACTCCCCAGTCTGCCCCTCGTCCCCTGTGACCTCCTCCCTGGACTCCTCCCTCAGTCCGGCCCCCTCTCACTCCTCCTGCTCCCCATCTCAGAGTCCCTCCTGGAGGTCTGGGGACAGTTTTAGCAGTAAGTTGGACCAGTAGAGAACAGGAAGAACCAGTAAAGACCAACAGGGATCAGCAGGAACCAATAGAGACCAGTAGGAACCAGTAAAGACAATAAGGGATCAGTAGGGACCAGTAGAAACCAGTAGGGACCAGTATGAACCAATAGGGACCAGTAGAAACCAATAGAAACCAACAGGGATGAGTACAGACCAGTAGAAACCAATAGGGATGAGTACAGACCAGTAGAAACCAACAGGGATGAGTACAGACCAGTAGAAACCAACAGGGATGAGTACAGACCAGTAGAAACCAGCAGAAACCAACAGGGATGAGTACAGACCAGTAGAAACCAATAGGGATGAGTACAGACCAGTAGAAACCAGTAGAAACCAACAGGGATGAGTATGAACCAATAGGAACCAATAGGAACCATTAGGGACCAGCAGGACCAGTAGGACCAGCAGGACCAGCAGGACCAGCAGGACCAGCAGGACCAGCAGGACCAGCAGGACCAGCAGGACCAGTAGGACCAGCAGGACCAGCAGGACCAGTAGGACCAGCAGGACCAGTAGGACCAGTAGGACCAGTAAGACCAGCAGGACCAGTGGGACCAGTAGGACCAGCAGGACCAGTAGGACCAGCAGGACCAGTAGGACCAGTAGGACCAGCAGGACCAATAGGACCAGCAGGACCAGTAGGACCAGTAGGACCAGTGGGACCAGCAGGACCAGCAGGACCAGTAGGACCAGTAGGACCAGTAGAACCAGTAGGACCAGCAGGACCAGTAGGACCAGTAGGACCAGCAGGACCAGTGGGACCAGTAGGACCAGTAGAACCAGTAGGACCAGTAGGACCAGCAGGACCAGTGGGACCAGTAGGACCAGTAGGACCAGCAGGACCAGTAGGACCAGTAGAACCAGTGGGACCAGCAGGACCAGTAGGACCAGCAGGACCAGTAGGACCAGCAGGACCAGCAGGACCAACAGGACCAGTAGAACCAGTAGAACCAGTAGGACCAGTAGGACCAGCAGGACCAGTAGAACCAGCAGGACCAGTAGAACCAGTAGGACCAGTAGAACCAGTGGGACCAGTAGGACCAGTAGAACCAGTAGGACCAGTAGAACCAGTAGGACCAGTAGGACCAGTAGAACCAGTAGGACCAGTAGAACCAGTGGGACCAGTAGGACCAGTAGAACCAGTAGGACCAGTAGAACCAGTAGGACCAGTAGGACCAGTAGGACCAGTAGAACCAGTAGGACCAGCAGGAACAGGCAGTCTGGGGTCCAGGTAGACCTGATGGTATTAGTTTAGTTCCTGACCTACAGTTTGAATGATGAAACTTTATTTGTAGTCAGCACAGTGACATCACATTAAAGA